TGAGATGATTCGTTAGGTTGTTAGTGTGCTTACTCTCTTTATGTTTTTCGGATGTAGGTATCTAATGTGACAAATTTCCCTCTTAAGGCTGCTTTTGCAGTATCCCACTGGTTTTGGTAACTTGTAGCTTCATTGTTGTTATGTTTGAGGAATTTAACAGTTTCGTCTTGTATTGCTTCTTAACCCAACTGTCATTCAGCATGAGGTTATTTAATTTCCATGCCTTTCTCTGGGGATGAAAATTTTTGTTGGAGTTGAGTTCCACCTTTATTGCTTTGTGGTGTAAGATACAAGATATAATATCAATTCTTTTAATTTTGTTGAGGTCTGATTTGTATCCTAGGATGTGATCTATATATGTTCCATGACAAGAACATATGTTCCTTAGCTTTGGGATGGTCTGTCTATATATGTCTGTTAAGCCCATTTGTTCTAGGGTCATGTTTAAGTTGCTTATTTAATTTAAGTTGCTTGCTTTGTTTAGTTTCTGTTTAGAGGATCTGTCCATTTCTGCCAGAAGGGTGTTAAGGTCCCCAGCTATTTTGGTGTTATGGAATATCATATTGCTCAGACCAATCAAGATCTATTTCATAAATCTGGGAGCATTTAAGTTGGGTGCATAAATATTTAGAATTGAAATGTCCTCTAGTAGTGTTGTTTTCTTGACCAGAATGAAGTGATCTTCTTTGTCTTTCTTTAGTTGCTTTAACTCCACTTGTATCTGATAATAGGATTGCAACCCCTTCTTTGTTCTGATTGCCATTTGCCTGAAATGTTTTTCATCCCTTTACCCTTAGTCTGGATTTGTCCATTAAGGTTAGGTGAGTTTCCTGGAGAAAGCATATGCATGACTTGTGTTGTTTTTTTTTTTTTGTTTTTTCTTTTGAGACAGAGCCTCAAGTTATCCCCGTAGGTAGAGTGCTATGGCATCACAGCTCACAGCAACCTCCAGCTCCTGAGCTCAGCCTCCTGAGTCTCCTGCCTTAGCCTCCCAAGTAGCTGGGACCACAGGCACCCACCACAATGCCCGGCTATTTTTTGGTTCCAGCCGTCATTGTTGTTTGGAGGACCTGGTCTGTATTCGAACCTGCCACCTTAGGTGTATGTGGCTGGCACCTTAGCCACTTGAGCTACAGGCGCCGAGCCTTGTGTTTTTTTTTAATTCACTCCACTAGCCTGTGCCTCTTCAGTGGGGAATTCAAGCCATTAACGTTATTGGGGGAATTGATAAGTGTGGTTGGGTTCTATGCATCTTATTTAGTGAAAATTCATTGCCTAGTTTTATCCTTTGTGCCTAGGTTTTGTCTTTTAATTTCTGAGTGTTAACTTTGCTGGTGGGCCATCGTTGTGATGGTCAATGTGGCAAATAGATCTGAGTATTTTCTGTAGAGCTGCTCTTGTGGTGAATAGCCTCAGTGTTTGTATATATCAGTAAATGATTTGATTTCTCCATCTGTTTTGAAGCTTAGTTTAGCAGAATACAGAACTTTGGGCTAAACGTTGTTTTGTTTAAGAAGGTTAAAGGTAGATGTCTGTTCTTGGCTGGCTCGGGAAGTTTGAAAAGTTTGACATCTGAAAAGTCTGCTGTCATCCTAATGGATCTTCCCCTATAGGTCAGTTGGCTCTTAACTCCTGTCTGCTTATTGAATTTTCTCTTTTGTTTTGATTTTAGACAGGTTAATTGCAATGTGTCTTGGAGATGTCCATTTGTGTTGAGATGACCCAGGGTTTGATATTTCTCTAAAAGGAGTATTTCAGAATCTTTATCTTTAGTGAAACTTTTCATTTATGTTATCCTCCAGTAGAATTTCCATTTCTTTGGGACGTTCTTCTTCCTCTTCTGGGAAACCTACAATTTATATGTTTGAATGCTTCATGAAGTCCCATAATTCTCTGAGTGAATGTTCTGCTTTCTCTCTCTTTTTGTGTGTCTTTTTAACTACCTGGGTTAGCTTAAGAGCTTTATGCTCTAGCTCTGAGATTCTTCTCCGTTGTCTAATCTGTTTTTGATACTTCTTACTGCATCTTGAAGTAGATGACTCCTTCAATTCCTTAAACTCCACCATATCCTTTCTATATTCTTCATATCTTTTATCCATTGTTTGCTTGTGTTTTTCTACTTGTTATCAATTCTCTTTATTGTTTTTTTCATCCATATTTTAGATTTACTTTCTGTCATTTGCATTAATTCTTTAAAAGTGGAGTCCTCTGTGGTATCTCCCTCATGGCTTCTTGAGGCAGTGACCTGTTTTGGTTTTTTACGTTGCCAGAATTTTCCTGTTGGTTCCTTCTCATGTTTGTTTTTTTCTTGTTCACTTCTTTCTCTTACTTTTTCCTTCTCACTACCTCCTCCTCTTCAAATTACCTTGTCTCAGAGCTTAGGTATTAAAGTGGCCTTTTGTGTAAGGCTAAAAGAAAAAGAAGGGTGAAGAGTGAGAAGGGAGAAAGAAGAGAAGAGAAAAAGAGAGAGAGGAACATAAAAGAGAAAGAATGGAGGTGAAAGAGAGTGACAGGAGAAATGGCATTGTTCAGCAGGGTACTATGGCCACACCTGCAACTCTGGGACTTTGTGGGGCTGGGTTGGGTGGTCCCTCAAAGTCAGTAGCTCCTTACCAGTCTGTGCAAAGGCAAGACCTCATCTATGCCAAATATGGAAAAAGAATAAAATAAAAATTAAAAACTCAGCAGTATGTCACAGTGGGGGACCTGCCAACACTGCCTTTCCCAAGAAGGACATCCTAGATCAGGCGTCCTCAAACTATGGCCCGTGGGCCACATGCAGCCTGCTTAGGACATTTATCCAGCCCACTGGGTGTTTTTGCCGCTGCTGCCTGTCCTGCTTAGCAGCCGACTTGTCCGGGGGCCCGCGGTCCAGCCCTCCAACGGTTTGAGGGATAGTGAACTGGCCCCCTGTTTAAAAAGTTTGAGGACCTCTGTCCTAGATTGTTAGCTTGTGACCTCCTTTGGCCAGACCAATGCCATGATCCCCCAGCACTCAGAAGAAAAGTAAAAACAATGAAAATAGACAAAAAAATTTAAAAATATAATTATATAAGATAAATTAAAAAAAGAGAGATGTTAGTTATTGTGTGAGGAATTTAGGTGGGAAGGATACGGAAAGTAGAACCATCTGTACCAAAAGGGAAAAAAGGAGAGAAATTAAAAAAAAAAGAGAGAATAAAAAGAGCTAAAAAGCCATAACAAAAATGAAGAAGCCCTTGCTATTGACAAAAGTAAAATGAATAAATAAAAATACAACCCCCCAAAATAAAAAAAAAAAACCCAAAGAAACACACAAATTAAATATGCAAACAAACTATATGGCCACCCTGTATATGTGTGTGTATGTGTATAAATATATACTATATTCCAATATGTTGCTGGGTACCAGATGGCTCTGCAGTGTTAGGAGATAGGAGATGTAGAGGATACACTGTTTTGCTGTGAAAAATTAGGACTGGAAGCCACTCTCTAGTTGCAGAGGAGATTGGATCCTGTCTTCCTGCCTTCATTGCCCTCAATCAGGGCCTGGTTGCTTTATCAGCATTCAGTCTTGGCAGGATTGGAGTCGTACAGCTCTCACCAGATTCTTTAAGAGACACATCACACAGTGCCCCCTGATGGTAATTCCCAGGGCTGCTCAGTTCACCCCAAGGGTGGATGTCTGAGCTCAGTAGGTATGTCACATCTGGTCATGTACTAGGACCCTGCGGACTGTTTCTTTCACATGGTCTTCCACCAATTGCAGCACCCAGCTAGTAGCCAAACCAGTGGCAGATCCACCCCACCCGATGTTTGTTCCCCGCTACTGGATACTGTTTGAGTCCATCCACTCATTTGTACAATTTAGCCCCAAATAAAAAAACTGTTTTTTCATGTTTCAGCACCTTCTGTCCCCAGTCCTTCACATGTGAGCAGGGTGGCTGGGGTCTGCCTCTTTCCTAAGCACTCACCTTCTATGCTTGTTTTCTTCAGCTCCAGACCTCCTTGCTGGGTCCTGTAGTCTGCTAGTATTTCACTGTGCCCTCGGGGTGGTGTCTCTGGGTGGTTCCCTCAGCTGGAGGTGGTTGGAGTTTTCTTTCCCCTGCCTCCTTGTGAGTGGCTAGTAAGGAGATGTTTCTTGTTTGCCATCTTGTTCTGCCTAATATTCAAAACTTTTTGTAGAGATGAGGTCTTGCTTTGTTGCATAGGCTGGTCTTAAACTCTTGGCTTCAAGTGATCTTCCCACTTCATCCTCCCAAAGTGCTAAGATTATAGGTGTGAACCCCTATGCTGACCGGCACTTAACCAACTTTACTTGAAGAAACTTTGCTTTTTCTGTTTTTTGGATGTTTTAATTTTTTTGTGTGTGCTTTTTTTTTTTTTTTTTTACATTTGCCTATAAGCAGTGACTAATTGCCTATAACTGAGCATAAGAATTAGGATTGCCACCCATTCTTAGCCCCTTCTCTCACTACTGCCATAGGAAATGCCTAATCCTGGGACTCTCCCTGCCCATTCTTTCCTCATTAATTCATTCCTTTTGAAAGAACTAAACAGGTATGACAAAGAGACACTAAAATGCCATGACTAAATGATAGAAATCTGTTTATTTCCTCATGTAATTGTCCAGTGTGAGCATTTTAGGTCAGCCTAACTGCTCTGCTCCCCTCAGGCATTCTGGTACTTCTTAGCATGTGATTTCTAAGGTTGTTCTAACCATTGGGGAGGAGAAAGGGTGGTCACAAATGTCCTGTAACAGAAGGCAAAATTGGTCCTATCTGTTGTGTTACAATCCAGGGATGGGAGCTTGGTTGCCAGTTGGTAAGGGACTAGTAGAGCATTCCCCTGCTGGAGTGCCAGAGACTTAAGTTTTACTCTCTGAAGATGGGAAGATGAATTTGGTGGATAAATATGAGTCCCTGCCACCATGCATACTAGGGGCATTGTATTCCCATGTTTATTGTATTTGTGTCAAATGACCTAACTGATGATGGACTTTTCTTTCTTCCGATTTGTAGATGAGCCTATGGATTCCACAATGGATGATGCTGTTGCTGGTGACTTTGCATTAATAAATAAATTGGACATACAGTGTGATCTGAAAACGCTCAGTGATGACCTCAAAGAGAGCTTTGATAGTGAAGAGAAGAAAGGAAGAAACTCTAAGAAAGAAGGATCTAACGAATTAATTCAGTCACAAAATGTAGAAGAGAAGTTGGGCTCTGGTGAACCATCACATTCAGTTAAAGTTCATACAGTTCCTAAGCCAGGTAGTGAATGTTTGACATCAAGTCATATTAACTGCTTTTCTTTTTTCTTTCTTTTTTTTTTGAGACAGAGTCTCAAGCTGTCCCCCTGGGTAGAGTGCTGTGGCATCACAGCTCACAGCAACCTCCACCTCCTGGGCTCAAGCAAGTCTCCCGCCTCAGCCTCCCAAGTAGCTGGGACCAAAGGTGCCCGCCACAACGCCTGGCTATTTTTTTGGTTGCAGCTGTCATTGTTGTTTGGCGGGCTTGGGCTGGATTCGAACCCGCCACCTTAGGTCTATGTGGCTGGCGCCTTAGCCACTTGAGCCACAGGTGCTGAGCCAACTGCTTTTCTTATTGCTTGAGAAACTCTGGGCCCTGCCATCACCCAAAAAGATTTAGACAGTTGCTTTTAACTCTTACTCTCTTGTGTGACTGGGTCAGTTCTTTTATTGTTTTTAATTTTTATTATGACAATTACTCATAGTTTGTCATTTAAAAAATGTTTGTGATGGAGTATTTCAAACATAGGCAAATGTAGGTTGAATAGTATAATGAGGTTCCCTGTACTCTACCCTCATCTGAAACAGTATTGACTCATGTTAGCCACTCTTGTCTCATCTATACTGTATTTAGTTCTACTTCCTAGTATTGTATTGAATCAAATTCCAGATGTTTTGCTGCCCTTTATTTATCATTTCTAAAAGATAAGAACTTAAAAAAAGTATTCAGTATACCATTATTACACGTAAATGAAATTCCTTAATGCTATTGAATGCTTAGTGTTCAAATTCTAATTTTTAAACATTTGTTTGTGTTAGGATCCAGGTAGTATTCACGTATTGCAATTGGTTATTACATTTTAAAAAATCTCTTTGGAAAGGCTTCCCTTTCATTGTTCCTTCTGTGTGGCTTGCAATTTCCTTGTTGAAGAAACTGGGTTGTTTGTCTCAGTCTGTAGCAGACTGGTTATATCTGCAGTGCAGTTTAACCTATTGCTCTGGTTGGCTGTAGTTGGAACTAGAGCCTTGATCAGATTCTGGGCTAAATTTTCTTTTGTTTCTTGATGAGGGGCAAGTTTAATCAAATTCAGGTTTTACTTGAGGATGGGTAAGGTTACTTCATGGGTGGTTGCATGGCCTTTGAGGAGGCATGTCGTGTTTGGGTCTTTCTCTTTTCATTATTGCTAATAGTTACAGATGCTTGATGCCCCAATTCATCCATTCATTAGATGTTTTAATGCTGTCATTCATTTTTTTTTTT